TCGACTTTGATATAATGCACGCCGGCATACCGATTACGAAACGCGTTAGCGCGAACAATGAGGGGGTAACCACTAGCTGAAATATTGTCTCATAGATTACATGATTTCATATGATTTCATCTAATTACAAATAATTTTTTTTATTACATATGAAGTAATTTGGTAAAATATAAGATTTTATTTAATATTATACAATGATCTCTCGTGGTTGCATATGTAATTATCGGATTATACATAGAGATTTCATATGAATTTTATGATTTCGAAGACTTTGTCCCACAATTATATTAAGTGGTTATTCCCTTAGCGAACAAGATCATTTCACTTCCGGCCAATTGCTCGATTCGCAAGCAACACGCGGCGAACACGAATTTTCAAAGCCAGCCGAGATTCCGAGGAGCCTTATTGTTCTAATTGGCAGACGAGCGATTTGTTCAACCTCGTGAAATTCTGTGAGAAAGTGTGAGTTTCTCCCGTATAACTTCGCCGATTTTGACATGAATTAAACGATTAAGTTATAAAAAATAAAAGGATCATTATTAGAAACTTCAATTATTATTTATTTAATTATAATGTAATTAATACTTTAATTATAATTACATTATAATTAAATAAGCAATAATTGAAGTTTCTAATTATGATCCTTTTTTGGAATCGATTCAGCCATGCGTTAACCTACTACATTACCATAAAAAATCTTTAAAAAATCCTCGACGCATTGATTATACATGAAAATTTTAATCTCTGAATTTATGTTTAGCTATTTAATTTATGCAGAAATATTACGCATTCATCATTCTGATTTTTCGCAATCTTCCCCTGAAAAATGGAAATTTCGGTCCTTGACATTCTTCTCTCGGATATCTTATAGATGGGCAAAAATAACGATTCATTATATTTCCATTTTTTTCTGTGAATACCAACCGGGTAATTAATGTAACATATAATTTGTTTTTGGATATAAAAAATTAATTCCACCGAGTTTATATTCTCATACTATTTTATCTCTTAGAATTAGAATTGTAGAACGTACGACACTTGAGATCCGTCTGGTCGATGACATATAATATTTTTTACACACCAATTACGTCTGTCGTTCGTTGGGACTTTGTTTATATGACACACGTCATGTCTCATTGCCGTTAAACGACGGCAATTCACTTTCGTACGGTTGTTATCGGGGTGCCCCGGCGCCTGTAAATCGCCGCGAGATTTCACATTGACTTTATTACGTTCGCGCCTCTGTAATTTGTGCCTAATTGAAGCGATATTGAGGCCTAACGTCTCATTAAATTGAACAATATGAACATGCTTGAATATCTGATTGAATATTTGTTTGCGTTGTAATTGCATATTTAGACGTAATCGATATTTATCATAAACGGCAGAGGAGAAGGTGGTGTTATGGCCAGTGTATATATTGTGGCCTCCCTTAATATCTTCGCTATTATATAGCGAATTCTAATGATTACTTATAGAATTATTAATTCAGTATCTCGCCGTTACACCATGATGCTAATATTACCAATACTCAATAGCCACTTATTATAACGCATTTTTACTTTCAAGTATTTCGAAACGTTTCTGAGGTACATTTTAGCATTTAATTACACCTATTTCCTCATTTTTCTTAAACTTGAGCATATTATCATATGAATATATATATTTTTGAATGTGTTATTTGCTTTTTAACATTTTATTTGACTGTATATATATTTTGAGTTATGCAAGTTTAAACAATAGCATGGCATTTTGCTCTATGGGTATTGATTACTCACGACCTCTTTTTTGAGATTTTCATATCACAATAATTATTTGATAATTGATTGTAGGTCTACTGTTAATCTATAGTTTATATTATGTAACGTGTACTATTTTTATTGTACTGAGATTTTTAGTACTGAGCAGCTTATATGCAGAAGTTATGTAAATGTTTTACTTTTTTGTTAATTTTGTAACCAAATATTGTTTTCTAAACAAAATTAATATTTTAAGGCTTTTTTTTATGGAAGGCCACATTAACACCCATTTTTTCTTCGAGTCATTATGCAATGTCGCTACATTTTTATTATATAATAGTATCCTAAGTAATAAATATTTCGTAACTTTGAGTCCAGAATCGATTCAACAACATTTTAACGAATGTAATTGTCAAGTTTTAAACTTAAATATTGATTATTAACAAAGTTATTGTGTAAAATGTAACTGTGGTGCCATAATACCACCTTCTCCTCTATAAATTACTTATTTATCTGCATAAACAGTATAAATTATGCATAATTTCTTGTAATTATACTGTTTATGCACTGCACTTTTAAACGATTAAACGTTCTTCTTTGAAATTATCGAGAAATACGATGTCTTTCCCCGCCTGCGCATCTCCAGAGAAATTGTCTTGTTACCGTCTACCTGCGACGCGTCAAGTTAAACGGTTCGCAAATTGTCGACTTCCGGCATTTCCCTTCTCGAGGGTACCGTGTAAAGATATAGTACAAAGTTGTGTGAAGTCTTTTTCAGCTAATGGCCCGCTTCTGGATTGTTTCATAATCCCGGGACAGGACAGGTTCCTCCTTTCGGCGCGATTCGTCAATTCCGCATTTCATGGGGCGTAATTGCAGCTGCCGCCCCTCCTCTCATTCCCGACGTTCAAGCGTATGCGTGTCCGTGTGCTCCGCATTTTCTTTTTATTTATTTACTTAATCAGACGGTCGCTTAATACGGACTTTCCCTGTAATTAGCTCATATCGGCGGCAGGGGCGAGAAAAGGAGAAAGAGACGGAGAACAAGGACGTGGCGTAGCACAAGAAAAGGATGGAGAACAAGAGGCAAAAGCGGAAGAATAGACGGTCGTCGTGTATGTGGAACGATTTGCCGCACGGGTATCCGCGAGAGGTGTTTCGCCGATCGTTTTCCATTCATGTTGCCTGGGAAACGACATTTTTCCATAACGAGGCGTGGAAATGGGGTTTACGTAACTTCTTCCGCGACGCAATTCTCTGCTGACGTTAGAATAAATTATGAATCTATTGTCTTGCAATTGAATCTCTTTTCTTTTTTTGGACAACTTCAGTTTCGATCATGAAAATTCTACTTCGCTGCCGTTGTATCACGATAGTGATTACGTAGTTTTTTCTCTAGGGCGAAAACGTGAAAAGTGAACATTCTTATGTACACTGAAACGTATAAATAGCACGCTGTTCGGAGCTTTGAACGCTATATAACAAGGTTCCCTCTTTCTCTCTTCTTCACCCCAAAACAATAAAATTCAAGATTTTAGTGGCTAAACTATTACAATTCCCACTTATGCTATTCATAGTGCGGAAGGGATTTTTCACGCTATTTCGAGGTTCACTATTACGAGGTTTATATACGATGATCGCTGTCTTGATACAACGATAGCAAAATAGAATTTTTATGATCGAAACTGAAATTGTCTAAAAAAAGGAAAGAGATACTTGTAAGATAATGGATCCATAGTATAATAGAGTGAAAATATAAAAAATGAAAATTTTTATATATTTATTATATATATATGTATGTATATATATATATGTATATATGTGTGTTTATATTGTATGTATATTATGTATTGTATGTATTATAGCGATTTTTAGTAATTAATATCTCGTTAACCATTGCGAAAATTGTAAAATGGTAAAGAACTTTTCGGCTCAGTTTAGTCCATTCTATCTACACAAAAGCGAGTGGCAAAAACTTATGGGACACCCTATATATGTATAAAACAAACATAAAGATTTTAATTTTTTGTGTTTCTGCTCTAAAAAAATTACATAATCGGTACATACTCTGCCCTATATGACACTAGTATGTAAATATTAAGTATTTTTGAGGTTTTAAATTTTAAATTGTCACAGCTTCATGTTGAAGAGGAAATTTAGATCAAGCCAGATTATATATGCAATCGCCGATTCTTCGATAGAACGGTATTTTCTTACCTGTTATGTGCCCGCGAAGTTTTACGCAAAGTCTTCCGTTGTGTACAAGATTAACATATTTTCCTATTCCTTTGAGAAGTTTGAGAGAATGGTTCCCCCCGTCTCCACGATATAAACTAGAATCCACTGATGAATAGACAATGAAATTGCCTGCGTAGATATCTGCGTCGGAAAAATTCTCTCAATGCAAATGTGTGTCTGTCGTTAATGAATTCTCTAATTACTGTTTTCCCAATCTTTTCATATACCTATTCAGGATGTACTACCAAATAATCGAGAAAGAAAGAAAAGGACCCTGCACTAATTATATGGAAACTTGAGTTCCGGTGAAATGAATCAATTTTTGCATAATGTGGTAAACAAAAGATATCATAGACACAAGGCCCAATAATGAATAATTTTTAAGGTGTATCAAAGATGCTTTGTGTTTTTTACACTCTAAATTTCTTGCAGAGAAATCTCACTTAAGAGAGTGAAAATACAACTACCCTTGAAAAAAAGTAAAAATATTTTACTTCTTGAAAAAAAGTTACAATGATTTAAATCTCACTTCTTTTTGGAGTGAGATTTCACTCCTTTGGAAAAGAGTGAAAATTGTCACTTTTTTTCAAGAAATAAAATATTTTCATTTTTTTTTTCAAGGATGGCTGCATTTTCACTTTTTTGGAGTAAGATTTCACTGCAAAATATTTAGAGTATACATCTTTGATACATCATAACTCAAAAACTATTCATTATTGAGCTTTGTATCTTTTTTTTGTTCATCACATTGTAAACTACATTATGCATAAAGACTAACTTATTTCAATTTTTCATATAATTAGTTTATGTGTAGTTTTTTAGAAAGTGGACAGGTAGAATTAATTAAAATTGCAAATGTTTCTGTATTTAATTTTTTTGTGAAAAAAATATATGCAAAATAATAACTATTTTTCATATATCAACGTAAAATAATTAATATTAATAATTAATTAATGTTTTCTTCTCTCATCAAATACTGAGGCTGAGTCATAAAAGAATTAAATATCTTGGACCAAGACTTACCTTCACATGATATCGTTGTCGTACTTCGGTCCGCGTCTTGGGACATCTCGGGGGAATTTGTAGACACCAGGTGAATGAATTAACCACGACTGGCTCGGTGTAAGTCTCGTACGATGTAACTGTGTAACTGTAACATACGATTGATTAACTACTCACTAGTCCCGCAATTCCCTTATCGGGTTTACAGTGGTATGAGGCGAGATGTGAGCATAATAATGATTTATGTACAGGTATTATGCATACCGACTGTATTGTCAAGGCTTCTAGGTGAAGGTCTTTTAAAAAAGTATCGAACTGCTATTACTCGAAAATGGAATTGCCATTTAAGCCAACTTTGGACGGTATACAATTTGTGTTAATTTTAGAATAGAATTTTATTTGTAATTTTATGTGTATATTGTATTTTATTACATTTTTTACATATTTCTTTTTTACATATTTTCTTCAAGTTTTTTACGTATAAAATTATAAATAGAGCTCTATTCCTTAATTTTGATACAAATTGCAGATCGTATACAATGAATTTTATTTAACAATTGTACATTATCTTTTGAGTTTTAATACTAACTTCTCTATTCTTGTGCAAACGTGATCTCCGGTCAATGAGTTAGCGATGGACACTGTTTCAAACGCCGCAATTAGGATAAAAATCCACAAAATCTCCGAAAGACTCATTTCAGTAAAATTGCGAGATCTAAAAAAGCCCCTCGATTAAATTTTCTGTGTACAGACAGTATAAACATTATAAGGAGTATCTTGTGCATCATACTTACTGCGAAAAAGATAGAGTTTGAGCCTCAAACAAGATTTCTTCAGAAAAACCCACATCTAAAAAATCCCGGTGGTTGTTGGTGTTATCCAAATAAAAGTGATCCTCTCATCTTTTCATATATCACCAGTCGAAAGAAAAAATTATTGTGGAATAGAAAATATCTCGTGTTTCATTATCAATAATTTAAACAAAATTCAGACTCGTAATAAATGAACTTCAGTGATCAAATGTGTCGTGTAATATAATAATTTGAAGGATTGTAAACTGTAACAATTTTGAATGAGGAAAATTCTATTAAGTCTTCAATCGTAATATTATGACACTGTTCTGACATTCGTACAGGATGTGGTCGGAAATACTTGTCGTAATGCGTGCATGATAGAAACGTCCCCTCCGAAAAGGTATTTGGGAGGAAATATTAACTGACCCTAATCATGGCACAGTACAAGTGCGACATTGAATATTGAATATGCGTCAATTGTGAATGTCAAAGTGTCACTAGAATAATATAGAATATTGCCCAACAGAATAAAATACTATATAGCCAAAATCAATATTTGCACCAGAAAAGATATCTATTTTGCGTAACAAATATCGTGACAATTTTTGCAATAATTCTGCGTACTGATTCTGTGTATTGATTAATTCTGCATATTGAATTATTTTAGGGTTTGATCTGATGAAGCCACGGCAGAATGTCTTATTGTTTATTAATTTGACTTATATATTTATAACTGAAGGCATACAAATAATTCCGTAACGTCATTTACTATTCAACTGTAATTCTAGAAGTGTCTTTAGTTGCTATTTTTGTATTAAATGATGAATTGTGAAAACTTTGCGAAAGAATTTCGCGGTTGATTAGAAAAACAGTTACGGCACGTTAATCCGATTAACTAATACTGATGATGTCAACGAAGGTTGCACGAAATTTCACATGTGCCACATAGCATAAGGTTTTTCTATCCGTTAGCTTCCACGTGGTGTAGACAAGAAGTTGAGATGTTCATTCAAACGCGTCGACCAGCTGTTCTATTCGTGAGAATTCTGTTTCTTATTTAGAATTATTACTACACCTAGTATTTCGAAAGAAAGTTTTTCGAAATACCCAGTTTCTAACATCGTTATATGTATATTTTTACATGTCGTTATATGCCGTGAAAGTTGATAGTTAAAATTAAATATACGGATGCAATGCGCAATTAAATTACTATTATTTATAATCCACAAAAAGCTAATCAAAGCGTTTCATCGAATTTCTCTGAAATCTATTTTTATTTATTTATTTATTCAACTTTGGTAAAAGATGGTCTCATTTTGGATGGCTCGTGTATAATTGCGATATAAAAAAGCAATAAATTTCTTGGTTTGATAAATTTTGAGGGTTAACTGATCAATGACAGCTTGTATCTTTCGATGTTTTATAGCTTTGTATTTTATGATATTCATTTTATTGTATTTTATGGTATTTGTCTGTCGAGATTATTAAACTAAGATTCCGCAACAAATTTATGACGTAGTTCTCATGGAAATAACTTAAACCAGTGCAATCAAACTATAAACTTCAAGGACATTTGTTTTTTAATTCAGAGGTCAATATTTTCGTCTACACAAAAATCGCTTCGAACTTCCTGTTTTGTGTAAATAATTAAGGTATCTGAAGACGAATACAGGACTTGTTGCGTATTATATTATCACTGCGTTTCAGTGTAGATGTTGCGCGAATCAAAATTTTGATACTATAATGTGCAACGGCGCACCGCATCGCATCATTGAATTGATACGCAATGATGATACAATACGTAAATACGCAACAAGTCTGTTCCGCCTTAAAATTCACCCAAAGCAGTGTGTAAGAAACTCGGACAGCAAATGCCGCAATTACACAATTTGCAATTATCGAAACGCCTATATCGAGAACGCGCCGAGTCTTGTGTAGGATTATAAAACTAGTAATGAAAATGTAGATGCAAATTATCCTCGTTGTTGATGTTACCTCAGTTTACATTATGCGTTTCACCGAGTTCTTTTACAAGCGATTATGTAATTATAATCACCAATTAAGGTGAAAAAAACAATTTTTCTCACGACAAGACGAAAGGATTTTATGACGAAAGGAGAGAAGAAAATAAAATGACATATCCGCTGCAATCGTCCGATCGTCTCGCAAAAAGGAAAAAGGATATGCGTCACATTATCGCGTGCAATTTAAATGTATTCGTCATGCGGGCTAGTATCATTACGTGTGAAAAGAATCGCCTTCTCACTGATAAAACGACTTCTAATTATTATATATGTATATTGCAGCAATAATAAAATATAATAATATAATACTAAAGATGATATAATTTCAACGTTAATTATAAAATTTTCCTTCAAAAGTTTTCTTCTACCTTCCAAAGTTTATGTAATTAAAATTTTGACAATATTCGTTATATGTAGAATGTAAATTCATTGTATTTTAGTAATTAATGTATTTTACAAATTCACACGTAACATGAGAAAATAATTCTATCTATTCTGTCTATCTTTTACTGCAAGTTTTACTTACTGCAATATGCACCTTCGATTTAATCCATGTAACTTCTGTATCACTTCCACGCTAATCTTCACCACGTTTCTCACAAGTCTCGTTGAAAACACGCGCGTCCGAAATAAAATTAAAATTAATTTCTCATTGTACGAGAAGCTTCTGCCTCGCGCAAACTGGCGTCATGTCGAAATAAGCGAAACGCGGGACCATGTCGCTGCTCTTTATCTCGCGAGAACGTGAGTATCATCTCGCAGATGTGCACAATCCTACGGCGTTTTTTTTCTGATCTCAGGACCGATCTCTTGCGAGGGCCGAGCCCTCGCTCCGGGAAATGTCACTGTCGCTTTCACAGAGCGATTCGCAACTGGCTTTGTAACGAGCAATTGGCGTCGCCGGTACTCGGAATGCACTTGTGGCACAATGAACTCCGACCCTCCGACAACTCGACGAACTCCGACGAACACGACGACTACGATGACGATCACGCGGAGGGGTTCGGGGGGGACGGCGCATCCAAAGGGATGGTTGTACAATGCCCACGTTCACGAAGCAGAAGAGAGACCGATGTCATCATGCTGGTACTTCTGTTTGCAAAGCGACTCGGATATCCTGCGGAGACATTGACATTGCGACCAGCGAAGTGCCATTGCGAGTCACCAGCAACGAAGCGTGACAACAATGGCGAACACGAATTGCTGCGTATAGAGAATTAAATTAGTTGAAAAATTTGGCGCGGGTTCGAAAGCGGAAAGGAAATGCATGCGAATCGAGAAGCGGTGAAATAAATAAGCGACGTAAAAGTAAGCTGTTGAAACAGAGATCAGTTTCCTTTATTACGTCGTACATTAACAGAAAAAAATCACTTTTCATCTGATGTGACATTCTTTCAACCACGCTTGATTGTGTGACGGAAATGGTAGATCGGACGACAATCGCAAAATATGAGAATTTATATTATTTCATAATGTAATTTATTATAATATAAACTGGCTTTAACTTGCGTTATCGTACATTACTTGTCTGCTGTACTATTATATTACGCTGTATATCCGTTTGCATTATTAATAAATTAATCATGTGTACGATCCTCTCGCATCCGGTAGTTCCAACAGTTTATTTTCGCTCGTAGCCTGATGTGTCGGATGTAGATGCGGCTCTCACGTTAGCAAAGAATTGGAATAGATAGGCGAAAGAGCCGGAGTTTAGAATTGTCTGTAGGAACAGTAGAGATCGCGCGGGCAGACTCGTGTAATGAGATGATTGGGCGGGCAATTCACCGCGTTCCCTCTTGTTTGGAGCACGCAATAGATCGGACTACAGCTGGATCGTCATCCGAAGCATCGACCGCTTAATCCCATAAAGCTACACAACATCCTACTAAATAGAGTAATTAGTAATTACGAAGGAACGCCCCCTGCGGCCAATGCCGCCTGTGTATTTTATTGAAATTAATCATTGTTAAAATAAGACTAGCCTTTTGTAATTTAAAACGATTATATTTACAAGTATTATCAATACACTTTGAAACATTAGAGATTCTATTAAAAAGAAATTAATATACATAAATGAATATCCATTATGAAGATTTTTATAATGGACATTCATTTATTAAGAATTATCTTAATACTTTATTATTTTTTTTATCTAGAAACGGAATACGTTTACTGTAGTTTTTTTTTTTACTAATTCTTCTACATTTTTAAATGCTAGATTCTGTTTAAAACAATTAATAATCGTTGAATATCTTTAAAGATTTTAAGTGATATGTCTTTAAGTGACGTTACAAACAAATAATAATTAAGTATATTTTTTTTATTCAAGAATTATGTTAAAATATTATCGTTTCATCTGTAAATAAAATATGTTACGTTGAAGTAAATAACAATTTTTTCTTGTTACAAGTTTCCCAGTCATCCTGTATTTTCAAATGTCAGTTCGTGTACGCCACTCTCGATGACGCAGGTCCTATGTGTGCACTCTGTCGTGCAATTGCAGTTAGCTAAACAAACATTTCGTAATTGCAAGGCGCAATAGCCGCGTGCGAGTAGATCTGTGCTTAAGCTGCGTGTTATTTATCTGCACGATGCATTTCAGCGATTATCTAATCTACGTGCAAAAAAAACGTGAGGAAGTACATAAATCTACTCTTGTTTAATAATGCGAATAAAAATTAGAAAACTAATTATTTTTGAAACGAAGTGAAAATTTTCGAGAAATACTCCATTTTCATATATATGTGTCTATGCGAGTTAAACATTAACGTAACGTTAATAAATTTACGTAAATTTACAGTTAATGGAATGTGCATATATTTTATTCGTAATTGATTGATTTAATTTAATATTATATATTATGAAATAAAATAATACAGATTTTACGGGAATTATTTCTCCATTATTTCTCCAAATTTGAATCACTTGACATTATTCGCGAGATAATATATAATAGCATCGTTAATTATATATTATATGCCTTATAAGAACGC